GTATACCAAATTACCAATCATATACCATATTTAATTAAGGGTCTAATTAATGGGTTGTTTTTACTCCTTAATTAAAGGTATTCATATCTAATTAATGAGCAGTTTTTACTCCTTAATTAAAGGTATTCATATATCTCACGTTTCTCTCTCCTTACCCCTCACCCTCTCACCTACATTTTTACCCATACCCCACATTCTTTTTACCATTTTCCCTCTTCTGTAACCAAACAAAATTCCCTCTTTCTGGAAAATGATTTGTTTGAATTCCGTTTCGACGTCACCTGGTCGAAAGGTTGCAGGCATCACCATCGCGGCCATCAAGATTGCAGGCATCACCATCGTGGCCATCAAGTGTCATAAAACAGCATGGGCGATATGTTAGTGTCGATCCAATTAATAGTAAAAGACGTGATAATAAATCACTTCTAAACTTCTTCTCATATTTCTTGATTAGAATGTTATGAATTGCTATTTTGGCAGCTTTTATTTGTAGTATTTTGCAGAAATTTTGTAGATGAAGAGCCAATTGTAGAAATATGACATCCACAATTAATCTGCAAATTGTCTGCAAAATTTTACAAAAACTACAAATTAATTACTTTTAACCTACATTATAAATACAAGCTGGAAACAATTTACACATGGAAGTTCTTCAAGTTGGAATTGGCCACAGCTACATTTCCCATTTTTATCCCAATTCCCATTTTTTTGGGCAGTTGCTGAAGGTTACTGGTTAACACAGTCGTCGAAGAAGAAGAAGAAGAAGAAGACATATTTTCAGAAATTGTAGATGAATTGTAGATAAATTGTAGAAAAATTAGAAAATTTGTAGATAAATTGTAGACTGTTTTTTGCAGAAGATTTTGTATAAGCTTTAGTCGTTTTGGATTTGTGAAAATAGAAAACAATGCATCTACAATCAGAATACAAATAATCTACAATTTATTTACAAGATATCTACAAACTGGATACATTGAATTTTAATATCACAATTCTCATTTCAATTGTAACATATGTGGTATTTTCGACATAATTGTAGAAGATTTGTAGAAGTTTTAGTCTTCCCAATCTACAATTTATCTACAATTCTACAATTTCTGGAAATATGTCTTCTTCTTCTTCTTCTTCGAGTTTCAATCTGAAACTCAGTCAAAACCAAGTCTAATCTTCACCAAAACCCCTCAAAATTGAGATATAAACTCCTAAACATATTCCGAATTATTTACAACAACGCCCAATCCAAACAAATAATGATTTTTGAAAACCCAAATTTGAATTCAAAGCTTTCAAGCTTTTTAATGGCTATCAATGGTGGAAAATATATGGAAGAACATATGAAGAACATAAATCTCCTTTTCGTTTCAATATTCTCTCCTCCCGTGATAGAAGAAACGACGAAGAAAAGATTTTTTCAACTTTGAGTTGTTGAAACTCGAAAATTTGAATTGTTCGTTCTTTTTTTTCGAGAATTTGATTTGTAGTTCTGGAGAAAAATACACAGATGAGAAATCTCCTTTCCCTTTTTAAAAATTGAATTTAATGTACAATCAATTAACACCAAGATTCTCTCCTTAATTTTAGGGAATATTCTGCCCTTTTATTGCCTAATAGTCGAATGGTACAAAATTTGTAGGCAAAATGTGGACTGGGCGGGTAATTAACAAACAATGCACATTTTTGGTAATAAGGTTTCATATATGGTATAATTAGGAAAAAATCTCAACAAAAAATGACCTAACATAGTTGACTACAATTTTCAAATTTCCACACTGATATGTAAAAAAAACACAAACTCAGTAATCAAATTCAAATTTTACTTTATTACTGATATTTCACAACTAGATCATTGAAATTTACCACTAAAAAGGTCCTATGTAGATTAATTAAATATGTGACGATGTTTACAGTCTAGTCTAATCTAATATATTAATCAACAAGTATGCATCAATCATATTATTAGTTTGAATTGACTGTATGAATAATTCGCATTTATTCCGTTTATTTCGCTGATTCAACTCCATTCCATTATAAATAAATAAGAAAAAATTAAGGGTTCTCCAAATACCATACTTATTCTAACCAAATAGGATTATACTAATACTCTAATTGAATCTTGAGAGAGAGATATGATTTTAAATTAACATTTCCTGAACTCTTACAATACATATTATATTGGTAGATGTACTACTAGAACAACTACATCATACCAACGACAAAAACAACACACTCAGTATAATCCGCCGTTGGGGTCTGAAAAGCTAGTATATACCTTGCGCAAGTATAAAGACTATTTCCAATAGACCTTCGGCTCCAGCAAAGCACTACGCCATAGCAGAAGGGTTAACCTGCTCGTGCACTAAAAACATCAAAAAGAGGTCTTTACCTGATGTTGACCGTGGTCAAACTCCAAATCCTTAACTAAATTAGTCTCTTAACCAATGACCCAAAACACACCCGAACCCCTTGGGACCCCGTTCAATCATACCAACAAGTCAAATACATTAACCAAACTTATCCAAAGGTCGAAACACTACATATGACATCATGACCAAGAATCAAAGATCAAACCATTCTCTTAATTTTCAAACATTCCAACTTCGTCGAATGCGTCCGAACCAAACTTAGACATTCCGGATCAAAACCAAACCTTGTATACAAGTTCCAATCAGCCAAATGAACCTAATACAATTGTGTAACTTCAAAGTCTTACCAACTTAGTGTTATAACCAAAAAACGTTTGGTAACTTTGTCCACTTTTAGTATGCTATTTCAAAGTTATCTTAAAGATCTGTAATTGCAAACCACTACATTAATCTCTAATTAAAAGGACCATCAATAGTTGTTGAGAAATATTTGGCATATCTGTCACTTTTACATAAAATCATTTACTCTGCTAAAATTGCAACTGATTTTTCTTCCTAAATATTTATTGGGTACATCAAGACAAGAATTAAAACAATTTGATATATTCATAATGGAAATAGATCATTTCAGGACAAAAGAAGAGTCAAGAGCCCCACTATAGACATAGCAATATTCAGGTCAATATGGGACAGAGAGCACAAAACCAAATTTAGATTCTGTACCTGAATAGTCTCATTTTATGTTTTGACCAGACAAGGGAGATAACAACTCTCCCAACTATAAACACATATCCCAAGCACCCGGGGGTGTCGCCTAGCAATCGATGAAATAGGCCGAGAACAATGAAATTTCAGGTTCAAATTCCAACGAAAGCAAAATTGATATGTGATTTCTTCGCATCTGTCCAAGCCTTGGTGGATAAAGTTATCCGGTACTTTGCTGGCAGGAGGTAATAGGTACCCCATGGAATTAGTCGCGGAGTGTGCAAGTTCACCCGAGCATCACGGTTATCAAAAAGAAATTAAACACATACCCCAGCTTACATTATAATCCATCTATCTCAAGTTATATATCACGAACATCTTAAAGTGTTCGACACTATTCCACTAATCATATTTACTTATACAACTTTCACAACTTTCAAGAATGCAAATAAGTTAAACTATTCGATTTTTTACATTTCGATGTAATGTTTTTCCATCCAACCAGCTTTTCAATTGTTATATGATGTCTTTTTTCACTACTACTAATATAATACACAAATCAAATTAACAGTCTTGACTCCCGTATCCAAAATCAAATGGTATCAAATGGAACAGAAGTAGAACTCAATAGCAACCTTCTTCGTTTTTATCCACAACCAGGTCTCATCAATCAGATCATCACAGTAGTACTTTGTGGGCATCTAATCCTAAGGTTTTGAGTGATAACCAAACTTAGTGATATATAGACTAGTTCAGAATGCCTATACTATCCACATCACTACACAAAAGCAATACAATTTCTGAGGAAAGATAAGTAGAAATGACAATAACATTGTGCGACAGTACGAAAATTTAAGTTCCAAAATAGTGTTCAGCTGTTAATGCAATTTTAAAATGTGTTTAAAGTATGTTCTCTAAATCTTTTTCCAAGTTACACAAAATATTAAAAGACACAAGTCAAATATTGTACTAAAAGTTACACTAAACAAACTACAGGAGCCTATAGTGTGTACAAGTACCTTTGTAGCCCCTCCTGCACCAACGGAAACAACAGCCTGAATATCCCCCATATGTTTTTTAACTTCCTGAGTGGAATTATAAAGCGACTCCCACCAAACTCATAGTTCTGGATGGGGAAAAGATCAGGATGGGACTGATCCTTGGCTAGACCAGATTCAGTTATTTCCTGCAGTGTATGTGAACAAATAGGCTTTCATTGCTCAATGTAGAATCAGAGGGGAATGGAGCTTTGATTTGAGAAGGAATCCCTTTGATTGGGAGGTAGAAGAATGCGCACAATCATTGCACAAATTGAGTGGAATCTCTTACAGACAGGAGAACCTAATACAATAAACTGGATTGGAAGGAAATATGGTAAATACACTGTCCAGCCCCATTATTACAGACTGAAGAACATTGATGATTATTTACAAAATGGGTGGCCACTGAAAGCTATATGGAAGACAAAGGTACAACAAGGGCAGCAGACATTGGATGGATAACAGCACACAATGCATGTGTTGATGCATAAATCACTTTGAATCCACCAGGCTTCTTTTTTTGCACTGTCCTTATGGGAAATTTGGACGATGTTCGTTAATGTTTTTTGGGGTGCAATGAGTGCCTCCTTTAACTCTAAGGAGACGGTTCAAATATAGCAGGGTCAGAAGATCAATAAACAGCTGAAATACATCTGGAGTAGCTTCCCTCATGTATTTTTGGGCCTTTATGGCAAGAAAGCAATAGAACGTGTTTTGACAACAAGTCTACAGCAGTGTATGTTTTAGCAGTACAGTTCTAGAAATATTATGTTCTTGGTGTACTCTGCAGTTCCTTTTGGATGTATATTCTTTTGTTACCTTTTTTAATTCCCTACGTATTTGAGGGAACAACCGAAACAACATAATGTTGGCCATCTTTTCACATGGACAGAAGAAACTAATATCATGGCTAATTTTTATACTACATAACACCACTACACATGTTCCACTAGAATAAACATTATAGGGAACCATGACAGCTAAAAGGAATGTGGTTGATAAAAAAGGCACGAAAAATACAAGCAGGCTGGTAATACATTTTATCATTGTGCACGGAATACTTTACATCCATCATGACGTAGCCCTACAAGTCCCATTTGGCTATGTTTGTCACCTCTTAAGGACCAATAGGACCATATCATGGTTAATTCAAGATCCCAGAATTATGGGCTTACCTCACAAAATAATGCTGCTAATGCTTTTCTCGGGCTATTCATTGTTCCAATAGTTCCGCAGCTGAGACATATGCAGAAGCAGTTCATCCCTGCCCAAACCAGAGACACTACTAGTCATTATCCATGCAGGTGGATGCTGATAATTCTGCCTAATCAACTCTTGGAAATCTCTAATATTCTCGTCTGGCCTTTTTGCCTTCCCTCCCTTCATTTTGTCACACTTCGTGAAAACGAAAGTTATTGGTATCTGTAAATGTATTGCATAAGTCACTTATCGCGGAAAAATGTTGTATGAAAGTCAATAATGGTAAGAAAGGAATTGTTTTTATAAGTAGCAATGGGAATAAATGACTTCAATAAGCCACATGAAAAGAATGGAAATGCTAACAGAAAGACTATGAAATTCAGCAAATCAGAAGCATACCTTATTGCGTCCGAGCCAATTAGCACAATCAAGGTCAATTTTCTGAGGGGGTACACTAGCATCAATAAGAAGCAGAACCGACACCAAGGTATCTCTATTTAAAAAGTAGCCTTTTGTGAAGGAGGACCAATCCATTCTGGCAGCTTCAGAAGCATTAGCAAAACTGAAACAAGCAACAAGAAATAAATTAGACGTAGATAAAATAGTTGATTTCCATATTAATGCAAAAGGTACAAAGAGTTACGTGATGGAAAAACATAACTCAAAGTGTTAGTTGATAAAGGAAATAGGAGAGAGTGCAAACTCAATGACAAAGGAGGCTTCTATGACTATGCTTGAGTCAGGGAAGGGAAAGTTAAAGGGGAGAGCATCAGATTCAATTGCTTTGATGAATAATATACTTCTGGCTGTTTCTAAGGATCAGAAGCAGACAATTGAGAAAGCAGATAAGGAGATCCCTCCATACATGTTTAATTACCAAATATGGAAAATGATTACTTTTACTTCGCTTTGTCATTTATTCCTTAACAACCAAGGGGGAATGACCTTATTCCTCCACTGTTACTTCCATTCCCTCCAACATTTTCTCCTCTCCCCTCATCCCCAAACCAAAAACTCCTAAAGTAGGCACAGCTATGGTCAGGTTCTACATCCTTAAACAGTGGGAAGCCTACCGAGATCTATAAAAGAATGAAAGATGAAGTAAATAACTCATTTATAGGCCTTCGTTAGTCGTTACAATTTAGCTGGTAGATCTGTAACTTAACAAACTCTTATTTAAGTTACTCTAATACATCTTCAAATAAATGTCAATAATCTAGACTGTTTTATCAAGACCTGAACAAGAACATAAATGTCTGATTGTTTGTTTAGCATTTACAACACCTCCACTGAATTAGGTTGATGTCAGCTAAACTGATTTGTCCAGCCCACAGTATACTAACTGTAAACTGACTTTGGACCTTTGGATCTAATCAAATATGCTAATTTTCTCCCTGATGATATATGATATTACAGCTTCTTGAATTGAAAACTTTAAAAAGATGTAATTGGAAATTCTCACTTCTTCCCATTCTACCTCACAGGAAAAATAGACACGACATTCTAAGATGGAAAAATAAAGCAATGAAGAATGAAATTTCCAGATGAATGTTGGAACCATGATGCTTTTAATACAAAAAGCAGTAACGTTCAAACAAGAGGAGCATGTAAGCAATGTAAAAAGAAAGAACGTGGTGCTTCTTTGTACTGCAAATATATTGTTTATCTTGGATAAGGCTGCAATGTGCTTTATAAGTGTCAGAACAGACATATCTAAAAGCAGAGATATGAGATTCAATGTTTGGACTGACATGGGCTTAGTGAAGCAGCACCTAGATTAAGGAATTCAGTTAGCAACTAGGAAAAACTCAGTAAATAAGTTCCTGAGTGGCAATTAAGACATTTTCTTTGCATATCCCTTTTTCACGGGCATTTCGAGAATTCAATCACTTAAATTTAAACAGTCTATGTAGTTATATTTCCAAGATGATTGGGATCAAGATGATGTGTTTCCTCATTTGAAGCCTTTTACAAATGATATCATGTAGTTAACTCCAACTAGTTTGGTGTTGAGGCGCAGCTCATCGCTTAATCGAACAAACCAGTAGCATTTTACCAAACCAAGTGAAGTCATGCTCGTGTCCAAATAAAGCATCAAGTACGGTAAGCAGTTACTTGAGACTACCGCTATAGCCCACTAACCCCCAACCTGCTCAACACTCTTTGAAATAACTTGATCCAACACATTTCATCGTAATAGTAAAAAAGCTCACCTATCAAAGAGTAGCCTAGCAAATAGCATAATAATCAAGAAATTGCTTACCCATAACCAGGCAAATCCACAATGTACCAACTCTTGTTCACCAAGAAATGATTAATCAGCTGAGTCTTCCCTGTACATTTAAACATACTAAAATTAGGATCCACCTAATTAAAATAATTACCAACTAAATACTCCACTAGTTCCAATTTATGTGACCCTATTTCCTTTTTAATCTGTTTAAGGATGAACGTCCTACTAAATTTGAAAATAATTTAACTTGAACTTCCTATTTTACCCTTAACGACGATCTTTTATACCACATGTTTAAGACCATACGTTTTGCCAAACTTAATAGTCACATGAACATTATAAACAACAACTATGCCTCATTCCCAAACAAAACTGGGGTCGTCCTCACTTCTTTCTTTAAGCTCAACTTATATCATCATTGTGCCAAACTTGCATGGTCTTATGGGTAGCGCATCCATTTGCTCCAGAAGGATTGGTGGATCGAAACCTGCTCCTTACATTGACTCCGCCACTGTGGGCTTATGTTGTCAGTACCAAGCTCGGATAAAGGAGGCAGGTTGCAGTAGGCTCACAGCCAGCGTAAAACTTGCCAATTCATAATGAATCCTCATAATATAGTCACTACGACATATTTAAGACTACAAGTTTCAGAATTCTTCATTTCTTTCTTCAATTCTATGTTCAGTCAAACTATGTCACATAAATTGAAACGAATGGATACTTAAATTCAACTAATGCAAACGGGCTCCAAATAATAAGTACTACATTGCAAAAATCCAAACCTGGTTTCTTAGAAGTAAGAGCAACCTCTTTCTTCTTACACAAAGCATTAATAAGAGATGATTTTCCAACATTGGACCGACCCAACATAGCAAATTCGGGTTTCTCATCTTTTGGACAATCCTTAGGTTTATTACTACTCTTCACAAACTCAACCTCTTTAATCTTGGAATCCCCCGCATAGGGTCCAACAACTATATTGGATCCGGGTAAAATCATATCTTCGGTTATATCTTCGGGTTCAACTCCTGGAGCCATGAATAATACTTTCTTTGCTAATATTGAAGCTGCTGATTCTGAAGTTGTAGCAGAAGATTTAAAGGTTTTTGGCGTAAAGGCATGAATTGAGAAACGGGGATTTTTTGGGTATGAATTTTGAGAAAAGGGAATTTTGGGAAATGAATAAGGGAGTTTGGTAGATTGAGGGAAAGTGGAGAAGAGATGGAAATTGAAGAGGCGAAACCTTGACATTACTTGCATTTTGAGCTTTAATTCTAGTTCAATGGCTGCACTGCACTGGTTACACACTACTTATCTTTCCCAAGATATAAATAATAAATATATACTTGTTATAAATATATTATACTTTGAATGTTAATTTAGTACTTCGTCGTAAATAAGTTTTTCGAAGAAACTTATCCATATGCGATTCTACCGTAAATATGTTTATCTATTTAAGTACTCTATTGGAAATATATCACTTCGATACCCGATTATGGATAAACATTACCCTCGGTAGAAGATTATCCATACCGGGTATAATAAGCTTATCCTTTCAGTACCCAGTTATAGATAAATATTACCCCCGATAGAAGATTATCCATACCGGGTATAATAAGCTTATCCTTTCAGTACCCAGTTATAGATAAATATTACCCCCGATAGAAGATTATCCATACCGGGTATAATAAGCTTATCCTTTCAATACCCAGTTATGGATAAATATTATCCCCGGTAGAAGATTATCCATACTGGATATAATAAGCTTATCCTTTCAGTACCCAGTTATGGATAAACAATACCCCGATAGAAGATTATTCATATCGAGTATAATAAGTTTATCCTTTCAGTACTCCGTTATGGATAAACATTGCTCTCAGTAGAAGATTATCCATATCTGGTACAGTAGCAGCTTACACAACAGCTTCCTTTCTTCTATAAATAGAAGAGATTTCAGTTCATTATGTACATCAGTTTGAATTCGAATAATATATCAGTTTCTCTCTATACTTGTCTTTACTTTATAGTCTTTATTTTATAACACGTTATCAGCACGAGACTCTGCCATCTCGAGCAAATATTTTGAAAGTATCTGAGGTAAGAACTTTCTTTTCCTAAATAATGTCAAATCTTTCTAAACTTGAATTTGTAGCCCTGGATATATCGGGCAAAAGCTACATGTCTTGGGTGCTTGATGCTGAAATTCATCTTGATGCGATGGGTCTGGCAGACACCATCAAAGACAAAAATCAGGCATCAAACCAAGACCGTGTCAAAGCAATGATATTCCTACGCCATCACCTTGATGAGGGCCTGAAAATGGAATATCTTACTGTTAAAGATCCAGTCATACTGTGGAATAATTTGAAAGATAGATATGACCACCTGAAGATGGTCGTTCTTCCACAGGCACGATATGATTGGACTCATCTAAGGCTACAAGATTTTAAATCTATCAGTGAGTATAATTCTGCTATGTTTAGAATTATTTCCCAATTGAAGTTATGTGGTGATAATATTACTAATCATGATATGTTGGAGAAAACTTTCACCACTTTTCATGCCTCGAATATGCTCCTGCAGCAGCAATATCGAGAGATGGGATTTAAAACGTATTCTGAACTTATCTCTCATCTTCTTATAGCCGAGCAACATAATGGGCTATTAATGAAAAATCATGAAAGCCAACCTACTGGTTCTTGTCCATTCCCTGAAGTGAATGAGACGAACTTCCACCAGGCTAAACGTGGAAAAGGTCGTGGCCCCAGTCGTGGTCATGGTCGTGATCGGGAAAGAAACTCTAATCATGGTAATAATAATGCACCAAAGAACACTCCTCACCACCATCAGTGGAAAAGGAAGGAACAAAAGCATGAAGCGGTGCACGCACCAAATGCAGAAAATGCATGCTATAGATGTGGAGAAAAAGGGCACTGGTCACGTACCTGTCGTACGCCAAAGCACCTGGTTGAGCTTTATCAAGCCTTCCTAAAGAAGACAGAGAAAAATGCTGAAGCAAATTTTATTTCTGAGATAATTTAGACATCATGCATTTGGATGTAACTGATTACCTTGCACTCCCAGAAGGAGAAAC